GACTGAGATTTAGACAGATTGGCTAAGAAATGGATTAGCGGTTATGGAGCTGGTATTCAAATTCAAATCTGGCGGACTCCATAGCTAGACTCTTAAACATCCTCATGTAGAACGTCCTCTTGTCAGTCCTGTATAGCTTGTGCCTCCCTACATACATACAAAAGGAGATTTGGGTATGCTCTATGCTCCTCAATGGAAAATATGGCAAGTTCAATATGTTCTCATTATTACTGTACTACCTGGAGTATGTATTAACGTGCTGTTTTTAAAGATTGCCCCCAACACTGTCTTGGTCTGCTTGTAATATTTCTGTGAAGGAATACATTAGAAAGATAAGCACTATAGAGACAGCTTAGGTTGTAAATGATGAGCAATGCAAGTTAGTTAAACATTTCAATACTAAGGTATTATTTGTTCTATAACAAAATGTCACCTTCATCGGATTGTGCAGCATGAACCCTATCAGTATCCCTAAAGGAGCTAATAAGTCTGCAGTCTGGCAGCTTCCCTCTGAGCAATGTTTCCTATTTAATTTAGAATGTTTCCTTTTTACGTTAAGAAAGCATGCCTTACAAATAAAATGGTTTCCGATAGCCAATACTTTAGAGGTGGTATAATTAGTAGTCTCTCTGTGATCTGAAGTTTTTTAACCTTCCTGCACATGGAAAATTACATAGAGTAAAATATTGAAACACTCTCAGGTGAAAAATCATAATACTGCAAAAATGGAGATATAATAGCCCACTGCATATTATGGATTTAATTTGATTTAACATAAATCATAGTTTCAAATAGCAACTGGCATGTGTTGTCAGGAAAAAAAAAAGATTGGATGCAACTGAATTAATCTTGAATCAAATCCAAAATCCTTCTCGAAATATCTAATGTTGCAGTCGTCAAAGTCAAAAGATGTTGATTTGAAAAATCTGAGTATGGAAAAACAACCAGGCGAAATACTGGAGATAAAGAATCTGCTGTGGTCTTGGTCTTAATCCTTTTAGGTCACCTTCTCTAGGAAAACTTCTGGGAGGTATTTTCTCTTGCTCTCCTTTCCTCTCTCTCTCTCCGTCTCTCTCAATCTCTCTCTTTCTCTCCCCACCCCCATATTCACACTCACATTTATGTACATACATATCAGAAAACTCTACCCAATTCTACATGCATGTATATGTACCCTTTTAAAATATTTTATTAATTGGAATATAACAGACAAACACATCCTAAGTTCAATGAATATTCCCAAATTGAATACATACATTTAACCATGACCTAGATAAACATTAAAGCATTCTAAACCTCCCAGCTCTCTTTCTTGATATTTAATCACTGCATAGGTTAGCTTTGCCTGTTTCTGAATATCATATAAATAGAAGCAAGCAAATGTATTTTTTGTATATGGCTTCTTTCACTTGTTTGCGAGGTTTGCCCACAGTGCTGTGAGTAGTAATGTCTCACTTATTTTAATTAATGTATTGTTTTCCAGTAAATGAATATACTCTATTCATTTCTCTATTGTACATTCAATGTCCAATTACATTACTTTCAGTTTGGAGGTATTGTGAATAACGCTACTATGAAATTTCTTACATATGTTTAGGTGTATGGATGTATGCATTTGTATCAGATGCATATCTAAGAGGGAAATTACTGAGTCACGGGTTTTAGTGGTACAGCTTTCCACGTGGCTGAACCAAGAGTCATTCTCACCGGCCCTGTACCAGAGTTCCTCACAGTGCACATCAGTCTGTTGAGTTTTAGCCACTCTTGTAGGTCCATGTTATCACATTGTGACTTTAAGTTGCATTACTCTGATGATGAATGAACTGACAAATGTAGTTGGATGTTTATCAGGTATTTGCATATTCTCTTTTATGTGAAGTGCCCATTCAGGTTTTCTTCTCATTTTTCAATGGGTTTGTCCTTCTTTCTTACTAATGTGTGTGGGTTCATTACATATTCTGGTTATTATTTCTTTTTTTGTAAGATCTATTAAAAATATTTTCTCCCACTTTGTAGTTTTTATTTTATAATCTCTTAATGGTGTTTTTGAGGAACAGCGTTCTTAATTTTAAAGCAGCCTAATTTACCAATCTGCTTTTATGATTAGAACATTGTGTCGCTTTTAAAAAATGTTCACCTAACCGAAAGTCATGCAGATATTGCTGTATTAACTTTCAGAAATTGTATTTGCTTACCTTTTATATTCATATTAACAATTGACATCTGAGTTTTTTTTAATTGTAGAATATAGGGGGTCAGCTTTTCCATTTTTCATATGAATTTCCAAATGACCTTGTACTGTGTACTGAAAAGACCACCCTTTCTTCACTCTTTAGCGTCATGTTTGTTATATAATCAAGTACTTAGTCCTAAGGCATGTGTATGTTTGTTTATGGATTATTTTGGTCCCTTGTTCTATTTATGCTTATACCAATATCATACTTTCTAAATTTCTTTAATTTTTAATTTGTTATATTTTTAAGATTGTTCTGATTATCCTTGCCTTTTCATTTCTATATAAATTTCAGAACCAACTTGTTAATATTAATAGCAACTTTTTATGATGGGATTTGTAACAGAATTGCACTGAATCTATATGTCAAGTGGGAGAACTTGGTATCTCACATATATTCTAAACCAATCCCAACTATATTGCAAATATATCCCAGCTATATTTAAAGAGGATAATAGACTGTGATTAAGATGAGTTTAGTCAAGGACTACAAGATGGTTTCCTATTAGAAAAACAACCAGTGCAACCATAACAGAAAAAAAAAAAAAAAAGACATCACAGAATCTTCTCAATGGGTAGAGGGGGAAAAAAAAAACAAAAACATTTGCTCAACATCAAAATTCACTCATGATAAAAACTCCTTGCCAACGAGGATTAGGAAGGAACATCTTTAATGTTTTAAAAAGAGTTTGACTCTGGGATTGAACCAAGGATTCTGTTACCCCACATTTTACTGAAAATTCTGGCCAGCAACAAGGAAGATAACTCAGACATTTTACTTAGCTGCTGGCATCTGCAGAGTGAGCGTGCCAAAAGGCAAGAGTCGCTAATCTGGAAACTGGCACAGTGTCACTTCTGCTGTGGTCTGTTAGCTAAGATAGTCACAGAGTCACCCAGATTAAAGAGAAGGGGACTTAGACCCGACCTTCCGATGGGAGGAGTGTCAAATTTATCATCACCAATCTGCCACAAGTTCTTATATGTCAGGAGCTATTTATGTTTTACATTAAAATTTGACCCCTTGTTGGCTGGGATAACCTGCGCTCCAGTTTGATTGAACGTAACATTGTGAGTCATTAACTCGCTTCTTTGGGGTCTTCCCAGGCTGTGCTTTGCTGGGTTTGAGCCCTGAATTTTGCTGTGGTGTGTGTTGTGGCAAGGCTCATCCTTTCACTACTTAGAGCCACGTGGGTTCTGCTTGTCTATTTCATTTTGTTTTTCTCTTGGCCTAATTGCACAAATAAATCTACCTTCATTTTAAGGATAGCATGTCCCTCAGACATAGTTTACATACATATTTTATCTCTTTTTATAGCTATTTAATAGTATTAAATAGATATCCTAACTTTTACATTTATATTAAATATATATATGAATATATGAAGATATATGTTGTGTGCTTGTGTGTGTGTGTGTATATCTCCAAACTTTTACCTGCTCTTTCATATTTCTATTATTTTGATAAATTTTCTCATCTCTTCTATTCTACCTTTGTTTTCCACAGATCTCTTTTTATGCTTCTTGTAATGTAGCTATCATTGGTTTTATTATCTTCTTTAAGCTCATTTATTCATTCACTGAGTTCTTTTTATGGAGATTATATTCTCTTTAATTTATTTGGTTGGTCCCTAACTTTCACTTGCTTTGGATATGTATTCTTAAGTTTGCAGTATTTCTTTTCTCCTTATTCATTAATATATTCATGGATTCCTCCACCTCTTCCTTTAGTAGTCATCTTGAGTAGGTGAGATGCAGGTTTCTTTATGGATTGGCAGAGGAGGGATCAGCTGGCAGTTTGAAGTGTGATCTCATAATTCAACATTTCCTTGATGTTTGTTTCTGTCTGAAGCAGTGAGCTTGTTCTAGACTAGCAGAGGGACCTTCTGGTGCCGAAGGATGTCAAGCATGTCTAATCTGGGATTTGATCCCTTAAATCAGGAGCATAGATCAATATGGTTTCTGTCCCACCTTACTTTACCAACAACTTACTCTGTAAAGATGGCATATCAGGAGACTAAATAAAATTTACATCTGCTTCGGGGGTAATACCGTCAGTCCAAGCAAAGGGCACTGGATTCACACCTCAGATGAACCCCTCAGTTTGGAAAATCCATGTTCTGCCCACTTGCCTTTCACAATGATCCATTGTAGGGTTATGGATATATTCAATTCTTGTTTTCTTTGATATTTTAGGTTGATTTCAGAATGAATAAAGGGACAAAGATTCTTTACTTTGAAATATATAGCTGGAGATTAGCGTGCAGTATTTGCATATGAACTGACAGGTTAGTTTGCAATATTAGAGCATCTAGATTTGACACTTTAAAACTATTTTCATTTCTTTTAAATACAAATTTTGCACCATTTTAAGGATATAATTTAAGGATATTATTTTAAGGATATAATAAGGATATTATATATCTCCATATAATTTTTTAAATATTGTATTTATTTATGTTTAGAGAGAGGAGAAGAGAAGGAGAAAGCAGGGGAGAGAAATATCAACATGTGAGAGAAATGTCAATTGGTTGCCTCTTGCACCCCCCCCGCCCCCGCCCACTGGGGACCTGGCCCGCAACCCGGGCATGTGCCCTGCCTGGGAATCAAACTGGTGACCTTTCAGCTTGCAGACCGTCACTCAATCCACTGAGCCACACCAGCCAGGGCCGAAATATAATTTTTATTAAATATTTTAATCATTATGTTTGATTTTCTTGTATTTTTTAAAAATTTATTCTAACATCCTGATTTCTTTTTTGCTTTTCAGATGCAGCAACTCTTCCATGAAAATTATGAACACAACCGAAAGGGTTATATTCAAGACCTTCACAATAGCAAAATCCATGCAGCCATAACCCTCCACCCCAACAAAAGGCCTGCCTACCAATACAGGCTGCATAACTACATGCTCAGCCGCAAAATCTCTGAACTTCGCTACCGCACCATCCAGCTGCACCGGGAGAGCGCGCTGATGAGCAAGCTCAGTAACAGCGAAGTGAGCAAAGAGGACCAACAGCTGGGAGCGCTGCCTTCCTTCAACCACTTCCAGCCTCGGGAGAGGGACGAGGTGATAGAATGGGAGTTCCTGACAGGAAAGCTCCTTTACTCAGCCTCTGAGAACCAGCCTCCTCGACAGAGCATCAGCAGCATCCTCAGAACAGCGCTGGATGACACCGTCCTGCAGGTGATGGAGATGATCAACGAGAATGCCAAGAGTAGGGGGCGGCTCATCGACTTCAAGGAAATCCAGTATGGCTACCGCAGGGTGGACCCCATGTACGGGGTAGAATACATTTTGGATCTACTCCTCTTATACAAAAGACACAAGGGAAGGAAGCTGACGGTGCCAGTGAGGCGGCATGCCTACCTCCAGCAGGTGTTCAGCAAGCCTTTCTTCAGAGAAACCGAAGAGCTAGATGTCCACAGTCTCGTGGAGAGCATTAACGGTGACACACAGTCCTTCTCCTTTATATCCGATTCTTTAAAGATATTATCCTCCTTTCAAGGGGCCAAAGCAATGGGAGGGCACAATGAAAAGAAAATACACATCCTTGTTCCTCTCGTTGGAAGGTATGACATTTTCTTGAGGTTCATGGAGAACTTTGAAAAGACTTGTCTTATCCCAGAGCAGAATGTAAAACTGGTCATCATCCTCTTCAGTAGGGATTCTGGCCAAGATTCCACCAAGCATATTGAGCTGATAAAAGACTATCAGAGTGAGTACCCTAAGGCCGAAGTGACCGTGATCCCCGTGAAGGGAGAGTTTTCCAGAGGTCTCGGTCTTGAAGTGGCTTCTTCCCAGTTTGACAATGATACTTTGCTGCTATTCTGTGATGTCGACTTGATCTTCAGAGGAGACTTTCTCCAGCGATGTAGAGACAATACAATTCAGGGGCAACAGGTGTACTACCCCATCATCTTTAGCCAGTATGATCCAAAGGTAACCAACGGAGGAAATTCACCTACTGATGATGACTTTGCCTTCTCAAAAAAGACTGGATTTTGGAGAGACTATGGATATGGAATTACCTGTATTTATAAAAGTGATCTCCTGGGTGCAGGTGGATTTGATACCTCAATACAGGGCTGGGGACTGGAAGATGTAGATCTCTACAACAAAGTTATTCTATCCGGCTTAACACCCTTCAGAAGTCAAGAAGTAGGAGTGGTGCATATTTTCCATCCAGTTCATTGTGACCCTAACTTGGACCCTAAGCAGTATAAGATGTGCTTAGGATCCAAGGCAAGTACTTTTGCCTCAACCATGCAACTGGCTGAAATCTGGTTGGAGAAACATTTGGGCGTCAGGTACAACCGGACTCTCTCCTGACAGTCCAGGCAATGCGTGTTGCCTTTTTAAAGGGGAGTTTACCTCATTGTTGGGTGTTGTTATTTTTATTTTATTATTGTTATTTTTATTATTATAATTATTATTTTCATAATTTTATTTTGTTGTCCTGGTCTTAAACAACTCTTGGTTGTCTTCCAAAGGGTGTTTGTTGACCTCAAGCAAGAGGAGTCTGCAATTCACTGATTTTTCAGATTTCTACTGAAGTCCATATGTGTATTACTTTTCTGTATCTTTATTTGAGATTGAGTTAAATCATGGCAACCAAATGACTTTTGAAGCTCATTCATCATGAAAGACAGCTTTAGAAGAATGTTCTCTTGGGTCTTACAGATGCAATATCGACTTTTATTTTGTCAAATTCAATGTGATACAAATATTAACTGGTGAAAGGTACCACAAAAGTGCTTTATGCTTCCTATGGGGAAGGGACTCTGTAATATAAACTTGAGTTTTGTAATTTATACAAGGACTTAAATATATATATACAATAATTTTCTTCATCTTTAGAATTTTTAAAGTAAATGAACACTTATGATTGTATGTTTATTTTTTAAAAAAATGTTTTAAAAATTGAGGAGTTTTGTTCCATAAGCAATCGGTACTGGCTACCCTGGTCTTAAGAAAATTATGTACTCCTCGCAACTGTCTGCTATAAATGCGAATGAACTTTATTTTCTCAAGGAAATATGATTTAATTAAATATTCATGTACATTTTAGAAGCTTTATGAAACAATGTCCTTCATTTGCTGGCAAGAAGATAAAAATGACAGAACCTGGTTATTTATAATAAAACACAGGTATAACAGTATTCTTTTTCAAAAATGCTGAAAAAATTGTGTTGATTTCTTTTAGTCATGTTTGATGCATTTCTTATAGTGGTTATAGTCACCAAAATGTGCTTGCTACACAGACTGGAAAAGTTAATGAGAGAGTCCGGGTATTCATTTGTAATATTATGCTTTAAATTCTAGCCTCCATAAGTGATTAAAATGAGCAGTTTCTTTATTCAATTCTTTTCAGGCCAGAAGTAACATTCCCCCTCAACCTCTTCAGCTCTGTGTTCAACCTGAACACAGAATAAATCAGAAACAACCTTTAATACAGATTGTAGCTGGCTCAAAGATACAAAAAGAAAATCAATGGGATTATGAATATAAAATTAATTTTAGAATTATAATTGTGCAGTTAGAGAAACCACGTAGGAAACGATCTCATTTAATTTCACATATCATTCTTTCTTAAAACTGAATCAATGGTTTCCAGTTTGTAGAAAACATAATCTTTTTCCAGAGAGAAAATGAAAATCCATGCAGGAGAGGTCCTATTCCCCACCCACCCGGGTCTGTCCCGACCGCACACAACCACTGTTTGGGCGTTTGGATGTTTGCGGTGTGCCCGCCTCTCCAGAGTTTCTGAAGCAGAAAAGGCACATACTTGATTTTTTCACGCTTTATACATACAAAATGTAGCACATTCCGCATACTGTTCTGCACTTTGATTTTCTTTTTTCACACAATTAAGAGTAAAATTTGCATTGAAATAGATTTGAAAGTGATTGTTATAAATTGGTCCCATTATTTGGAGCTGATTGCAGGAGGCCATGCAGCATTTGCCTGAGGATGGTCTCCTCTTGTAGTGAAGACATTTTAGGGGCCTCAGAAAAAAATGGCATTACTTAACATTGCAACAAACATGATGGCACCCTCCTAGACTATAACATATAATCTTCATAATGCCATGTTCATTAGAAAGGAATTAATGGCACTCTTGGATGTTAAAAAATTCAACAGGGCTGACAATTCAGAATTGATGTCTGCTCTGCTATTGTCTCTGGGCTTCACAAACCCTTACTCTAATAGCTTATTTTTCTACCTTGCGTGACTTAGCTCTTTTGCAACTTTTATTTTCCTGAACAGTATATACATTTTCATTTTTTTTAAGGGAATGGTATATCTGTTAACATGCAGTATAAAATAGTCATTTGGGAGATCCATTACTAAATAACAATTATTCATGATTTTATTAATGAAGAAAAGAAATCGGGGTCTGCTCTTTCCTTTAACTTAGACAACTGAAGTAACAGACTATTTTACAGAGGAGTAAATATAAAGGTGCCATTTAAAACACCCCAGGTCTTGGAGAGTCACGGGCAGCTGCCCGGGGCGGGGGTGGGGAGGGGGAAGCGGCACGCCCTGTCACACTGAGGGCATTGCTCGGGGGGAGCAAGGGGGTTCAGAGATCTCATCTGAACACACTCGCTGTACTGAAATTAATAGAGGCATATTTCAATTCTATTTTATAACTTCGCATTAAGCCTTCCTATAATTTTTTTCAAGCACTGCGATATTTCCTGACTGAAAATTTATTGGAGTTATACTAGTAAAATTAAGAGATTTTTAAAAATCTGTTTGGTATCGCTTGCTCAGAATCCCTTCAATGTTGAAGAGCAACACAACGCGAATGCAACCTGACGCACTTCGGATGCACGTTATCGGCGTGGCCTAATTTAGGTCGCTGTGGCCGTTCTGTGTAAGGGCTCCCCCAGTAACAGCTTCATCAGCCCTCAGCATCGTCTGATCGATCCTTTGCCATCCACTCAACACCACACTATGCATTTTACTTGCATTTTACAGATGCAATATCGACTTTTGTTTTGTTGATAGATTTTAAATGTAATCTTCACAAAAGATCTCAGAATATTGATATTATTTTCCTCATTCAACAGATAGAGTAACTGAGGCCGTGAGCGAGGCCGGGCGGCACTATAGCTTCTGGTCTAACAACCCAGCCTCCAGAAAGTGGCCTTGCATACTTCATACAGCTGGCACGCTGGAGTGCTAAGATTTATTTGCTACCTGAATCTGAAGCGCCTGTCTTCCCACTCGAACCCACGGCTCCCCAGTCGCTGGGGTGATGCAGGAGACAACAGGGGAGCACAGGCCTAGCTGACGCCGTGCACATGGTTGACCCACCGTTCAGCTCACTTCTGCGGGACGCTCCTTCTGGACAGGGCTAAGTGTGCTGATGTTTTACTCAGAGCTTCTTCAGGCTTTTAATCTCAGTCTCCCACCTCTTTCTCAGCTCCCTCTGAGCGTACTGCTCTGGGAAAGGGTTTCTTCTGTCTCCTTACTCACGTGTCCCTGGACCTTGGCCAGCAGGAAAAAATGCTCAATGACACCAATAGCAGCCCTTCTGTATGGCCTCGGCCAGCTGACAGCACAAGCTGTCCGCAGCCAGCACCACCACAGAATTGCTGGGCTATTTATGTCCCTTCACCCCTACAGACTCGGCTAAAGCAACTTTATCAGAGCAGAGAGATTTCTGAATCTAAAAGTGGAGACCATTATGCCTAGTTAATAGTTGGGAAGCTACAGGAATGAAATACTCAGATGTGGACTGCTCCAACCAAGGGAATAAATGCTCACTGGAAAGGTAAATTATAAAGTTCCTCTGTTTTTAGCCTCGGAAAGCTGGAGCCCCTCTCCGGGGGTGAGCAGCCCCATGGCTGGGACACTCTGGTTTCACGTGGTCGTATTTTCAGGTTGGCCCTGGGCAGCTCCTTCCTCCAGCAAGAGGCCCGGGAGGAGGCCTCTTCCCAGCGGCCGGCATTGCCGAGATGAGAGGCCGCAGCGCTGCCGGCCCAGCGAGGCCTCCCCAGGACCGCGTCGCCCTGGGGGAAACGGCCTGCCCTGGCCTGGGACCTAGAGAAACTCAGCGTCTCCATTCCTTACCTCTCCCCACCCAAGAGGAAAATCGGTTTAAGCAGGTATAGAATATATCAGGGTGAGTCTCCAACAGCCAGTAAAACGTCTGCAGCCCTTTCTTGGCCATGGGGATGTGATTTACATGGGAGAATGGAGGGCTCAAGACACCTTACATTATGTAGCCAAGCTACCGGCCTTTTCCTACCACCTGCTGCTTTCTGAGTCGCTGCACCTTTGCCGCCAAATCAGAGGGACCCAGTGTGCCGTACCGCAGGGATCTCTCTCAGAGAGGACAGTTAGGAACCCAAAAATTGTCTGCTTAAGCTCGTTTGTGCTTACGGTAGTGCTCCCTTGAGTCACTGTTTCGCCTTTCTGTGGTTTCAGGAACCCACAGCCGGACTCAGCCGGAAAATATTAAGGGGAAAGTTTCAGACAGAAGTGACTCGTAAGTTTTAAATTACGCACCGTTCTGAGTAGTGATGAAGTCTGGCAAGTCCCAGTCCGTCCTGCTCAGCACGTGACTCGTCTGTGTTCCCAGTGTCTCCAGCCGCGGACCCTCCGGCTGTTAGTGACGGAGGAGCCAGCGTGGGTACCAGATCGGCTGTCACACTATGGCCATGCTGGCGTTCCAGTCACCCCTATTTCACTCAGTAATGACTCCAAAGCACAAAGTGGCACTGATAATTCAGGTGTGTCACAGAGAAGCCAGAAAGTGCTTCCTTTAGGTGAAAGGGTGAAAGTTCTCTACTTAATAAGGAAAGAAAAAAAGGCCTATGCTGAGGTTGCTGCGATCTATGGTAAGAATGAATTTTCTATCCTTGATGTTGTGAAGAAGGGATAAGAAACGTGTGCTAGTTTGCTGAGGCGGGTGGAGAGAGAGAGGCTATGTGACCTAAGCGGTGCATGACCAGGCCGCAGCGCCACGCCGTGCCCCTCACTTCATCTCGTCTCAGGGCCACTGTATCACCGCACATCATCACAAGGAGCGGGGTGAGTGCGGCACAGTAACATCTTGAGAGAGGCCATATTCACAGAACCTGTATAACAGTATATTGCCACAGTTGTCCTATTTTATTAATTATTGTTCATCTCTTACCGTGTCTAATTTATAAATTAAACTTTATCATGGGTATGTGTTTATAGGAAAAATACATCGTATATGTATGGTTCTGTGCTATTTACAGTTTCAGGTGTCCACAGGGCACTTGAAATGTATCCCCCATGCATGAGAGGGACGGCTGAAATTATTGCAGCCATCTGTCTTCAGGAAGTGG